TCGCTACGTGTGCCCCTTCGTGATCGGGCGATTAAATTCGCTGGCAATTTTAATCGCCGCGATCGGGCGATAAAAATCGCTCGTGTGCCCCTAGCATAACAAAGACTTCCCCTCCTAAAGATATTAGCTTAGGGGAAATTTAAACTTTTTGCAAGAAAATTTTCCTATCGATGACAATGTACAATGTTGTACAATGTTGTACAATGTTGTACGGAATATTTGTCTTCAACATTCTTAAGGATCATATAAAAAAAGATTGCAAACAATATACAGCGATTCCCTCTTTACTGGGCCTCCGATAAATGCTAGAATGCGTAGATGTATCGAATAAATGGCATGTCTTTGAAGACCAATCATTGTGCACGTTGTTCCTATATTACCATAAAAAATCATACAAGCAATAACCAAGGTCATGTAAAGACAATCGTAGCAATATTTAGCAATAGTATAATCAAATAAAGGTATTGCAATAGCTTCGTTAGTGCTGTGATTAATAATGTAATTTAATTAAGAGGATATTGTTAACTTTTGCACCTTATATGAAAAATCATTAATTTTATGCAGCACAGAAGTGATTTTAAATTTAAAGCTGAAAAGATTTTTAATTATCACCCATTATGATTGTTAATCAATATAACGCTAATTGAAATTCATGGTTAAAGTGTTTCTCGTTATATTGAATTACACCTAGAGTAATTACACCAATTAAGAAGAGTCTTCATTCAATAATAGGTTGCTGGCCGCGTGGGGGTCGCGGACCGGGCGGGAAGGTCACACAGGGGTCGCGGACCGGGCGGGAAGGTCACACAGGGGTCGCAGACCGGGCGGGAAGGTCACAGGGGTCGCAGGCCGGGCGGGAAGGTCACACAGGGGTCGCGGACCGGGCGGGAAGGTCACACAGGGGTCGCGGACTGCCAGGGAAGCTTCCCCGACAATTGCACCTCACTGCGGCCCTCCTTCTAACCCGTCTTCCTCTCTGTCTCTCTCTCCGTAGAAGAAGCCGAACGTGAGAGGGAGAGGTACAGGGAAGCGTGGGCGCAGAAGAGCGAGCAGAACCGGCGCGCTCTGCAGGAGGAGCGGGGAATCGCCGACAACCTGCGCCGCGCGGAAGAGGAGAGGAAGCGCGCGGAGGAGAAGGCCAGGCGGCTGCAGGAGGAACGCCGCAGGCTGGAGGCAGTGGAGGCAGATGCAGACGCGCGCCACTACACCCAGCTATCACAGGAGGTAGGCTGAGGCAGGAGGAGGGAGGAGGGAGGAGGGGGAGGGAGGAGGGGGAGGCTGAGGCAGGAGGAGGGAGGAAGGAGGAGGGGGAGGCTGAGGTGGGAGGAGGGAGGAAGGGGAGGCTGAGCAGCCTGGGGCGAGCAGAAGGAGGCTAAACAGTGGGAGAGGGGCACGCAGCCGAGGGGAGGAGGTAGGTCGAGGGAGAAGGGTAACACCCAGGGGGAGAGCAGGAAGGTAGCAGCAGGAGGGAGGAGGGCATGCAGGGTATTGCTGTTCTGTATATACGTGTGTGTTATACGTATGTCATATATGTGTATATGTATATACGTGTGTGTGTATAGAGGTGATATATTGCTGCTGTGTGATATATGTGTGTGTGTGTATATAGAGATGAGATGTTGCTGACTCACCGCTCGTTGGTGTTTTGCAGACGAAGGACCTACAGGAAGCCCAGATGCAGCGACTGGAAGCAGCTCGCACAAAGTAAGAACAACATGATATAGCATGAACATAACATGCATCACATGGCATCACATGACATGACAGGAGTCTGAGGACATGACACAAAATGACATGAGATGATTCAAAATGAAATGACATCACATGACATGACAGGAGTCTGAGGACATGACACAAAATGACATGAGATGATTCAAAATGAAATGACATGACATGTCAGGACATCACATGATGCAAAATGAAATGACATGACATGTCAGGACATCACATGATGCAAAATGAA